TATTGGTTTGTAAAAAAAAAAAAAAAAAAAAAAAACGTTTTGAACACCTACAGTAATGTCTCACCTGTTGCAGAAAGTCCTTTGCATGGATTCAGTTTGAAGACATCTTTGACTGAATTAGTGACGTGAATGTCGAATGTATTTATAATTAAATGTTTAACTTTAAAATATTTTTAGCTTCAGTTAAAAATAAAAAAGACAGAAAGTGATTCAGCAGGATGAGTTCAGTGTTGCTGATGAAAGTAATGTTTCAGGTTGGAAAGATCTTCTTAAACTGAAAAATCTTGATTTTATAGTAAACAAATTTGTTCACGTGAAATTGTTTAATGTTTTTTTTTTTTACAGATTCTACAATCAAAACTGTATTAGAAACAGAAAAGGATTCTAAAGCATGAATAAAATCATAAACAGAAAATAAAAATGCTTTAGGAATAGAGCAACGACAAGCCATTGGCTTCTGTTTCTTCCTTTTTGGTCACATAGGGTTAAGTGCTCTTTTATGTCACCAAATAAAGTCAAAACAAGATCAAGATAATGACAACAAACATTAAAACATTTAGATTTGGAATTGTTGAATTTCATCAGGTCTAGATTTGAAGATTTGAAACATTGTTTCCTAAAGAAAAAAACACGAAATATCATACATGATTAGATTTTAGAGGACGTTAGTAAATAAAAATGCAAGATCTCTACCATAGTTTTAACTCTTCTCCAACTTTCTATTTCTCAACATGTCAGTCATCACTATCAGCAGAGCTATGAAGCGAGCTGAGGTGGTGAAAAAAAAAATCCACTGGCGACTGAATACAGAGATATGAKAAAAGGAAGACAGGCATAACAAAGACTTTCAACAGAGAACTCCATGTTTTATGCTCTGTAGCCTTTTTCCTAACACAGCTCACTGCTTAAGTTATGTTACTGGCACCGTCTTTGACATTTCTCAAAGGCACGTTGTTAAGGAGAGTACGACTGCTCGGGGAGATGCAATATTAAGTAACACACATCTCACACAAGGATCAGTAGCTTTGGTATATCAGTAATCCTTTAAATGGAGTCCTGGGGGSTGCAGGGAGACTGTCACTGGGAATCGACAAGCTGATGTTCAGACATGTTCTTATTATGATCAAAAGCTGAATCAGAAAAAAAAAGAAAGAAATATCATAGAAATGATTACAGCTTCAGGAAGAACCATATTTTAAAAGTTTCATCAAAATGAATTACTGTAAAATTTATGAAGTAATTTTCATATGGTACTTTCCAAGTCTTCCACTTTATGATTTTTATGTGAAAATTATGTAATTATGTAATTATGTTTCTTCACCTATATTGCCGTCACTAATATGCACCTTCATATACATTCATTTATTACTGTACGTATATGTACATTGTTATATTTCACGAGTATAGTGTTTTTTCTTTTACTTATCTTTCTTTATTCTATTTCACCCTTTCCTGTTTTGAGCTGCTGTAAAGTGCAAATTTCCCCACTGTGGGATCAATAAAGTCTTATCTTATCTTATCTTGTCTTATCTTATCTTATCTTATCTTATCTTATCTTATCTTATCTTATCTTATCTTATCTTATCTTATCTTATCTTANCTTACCTTATCTTATCTTATATATAAAAATAAATAATAATAAAAAATTAAAAAAACAGCATTAAAACTCAAACATCTGACTTTATGGCTAAGTTAAAGTTTAAGGGTGACCATGATTAAAGGGTTAATTTAAGTGAACTGCCAAACTTACAAGCCAAGAAATTAACATTTTAAGATTCCATAACTTTAAATCCTTATACCCAAAAAGCAATAAATGTCTATCATAAATTTCAAAAGTAAACACATTTTATATCTGCTGGTGTGACAAGAGTGTAATAAATTATCAGCCACAAAATCAAACAATATCAGAAGCGCTCGTCTTCTTCAGTCCTTGGCATCAGTTTTAACAGAAACAAATGGTAATCATGACTCCTCTACAGCAGTTCCTCTCTGATAATGTTTGCCAAGGGGACACTAAAATCCGAATGTCCTTGTGTTTATGATACAAGTCCATTAAGATGTGTTACGATTAACATCACAGTCAGCCACTGCCTGAAGGTACATAAAAACTAACCAAAAAGGGAAGGYAAAAAAAAGAGACAAAATAAACACCCTCTTTACTCATTCTGCTGTTGTACAATAAAACACAAAGAAATTAAGAGATAAAAAACTTCAGCTGCAATCAGAAACCCAAACTAATTTATATTCTCTGCACGCTTTAAAAGGCTGCTGTGGCCCACTTGATAAAATACAAATTGTACAAAGTGAATTAAAATTACAAACAGAACCTTTATTACAGTTTCTGGCTTTGTTTATTTTTTGTGTGTAAGAGAGAGAGAGAAGGAGGGAATCTTTAATTATTTCTGTCAAAATTAGATTTTTTTAAAATAATTTTCAAACAAAACTAAATTGGCTACCATCCAGATTAAATTCTAAATATTCATTAAAAACAGTACAACAACAAAAACAGTCACTCATGCAACATGACCATTTCTGGTAAATTTATAATCATGTCTAGTAAATACCGTCTGAGTAGATACATTTCTTAAACCACTCAATTACTAAAAATACTGTAAACTGATAAAACCTGTGATTAAAAATGATTTTAGAAACTCAGCTAGTCTCCATAGAGATGGCACAGAAATCAACAGTTATTTCGAGGAATGAATTAAAGAATGAATTTTTAAATAAAAAGGTCAATAAACACGTTCTGCTCAGCGAATATGAAGTGTTTAATTACAGCGGGACTTCCCGYGAGCTGAACAGCTGCTGACAGCTGGATGGTACAAATATGGTTAAAACCTGTGGAGACGAAACATGTGGGGGCAGGAAAGTGGTGCAGACCACCAAAGAACTGGAGAGCTGAAAAATCTTTAAAAGCTATCCAGTTGTWAAAACTTTAGAGGGTTTTCTTAGATCTAAAATACATTTTTGAGTGTTGGAGCCTCGTGTGAAATTTTAAAACACTTATCTGACGACAAAGCAGTCCTCCAGGTATTGAACATTATTTTTATTTAATGTATCACTGACAAAACCCCTTTGCATGTTGTGCAACATGAGACTGCACTGCAGTTTATGGATTCAATTACAGAAATAAAACAAGAAAGGCATTAGGTAAAAACAAGATGGCACATTGTTGTATGGTCTTCTTTATGTTTTGGCTGCTTCCTTATCAGCATCTTTATCCAAGACCAGTTTTCAGCATCCAACTGGTTAACAGGTCTGGAGGCGGTCATTATTCACCTGGACCCTGACGGACCCAGTGAGGCTGCTGTATAATCTAAAAAGGCTGTTGCACAATCCAATAGGGCAGTTATTAGGTCTGCACATTTGTTTTGGCACAAGTTTATGTCAAATTCCCTCCCTGATGCATCCCTCACCATTTACTCAGGCTTCGGACCAGATCTGCAAAATAAAGTCTCGTCCAATGATGGTTTGCTTTGTTGTGTGAAGCATTTTAGTAAAAAAATAAACTATGTACTTAACATGTAATGACTGGTTTTGCTACAAAATAATTAAACCATTGGAATGCATTATGTCTCATGAGCATGTAGCCGAGCACCAGAGGAAGAATTTGTACCCTTTATATTTTACGGACTAGGCTTAGGTCCCCATAAGTACCAATTGGTCCAAATAGGTGTGTATGCCAAAAATGGTCCCCACATAGTAGGTACTCCTGCTCTGACTTCACCTTGTGAGCAACAATAAATGGCAGAAATGCATCACAGAAATTACATGTGCACCATGTCCATCACAGGACTTGGCATTTCACAAAATGTACTTTATTATTATTATTATTTTTTCACATTTGGACACAACATGGTGTTTCTGAGTACTCTAGCATACACTCTAAAACATACGAGTTGGACTTATTTTCACATTTTCTTTAAAAATAAATGTGAAAGTTGCCTTACATTTAACTCAGTTGAGTGGAAATTGTTGACATAACTTGGTTAATTTGATCCAACAATCTGTTTTTTGAATGTATATGACAAAATGGCATATAATGTAACAGGGTCTTAAATACCAAAATATACTTCACTGCAGCCTGTTTACTTATACTGATCAACAGAAGCTGTTTTTTTCCCTCAAGCTCAGACTACATTTGCAACAGGATTTAATGATTTTGACTTGACAAGTTTAAGAAATAGTATAATTTGTGTCTTTTTCTAAATTTAACTTTTGGTTGCGTAAGGTTAATTAAATGATTCTCGAAACTGTTGAATCATGTCTTTAATGTTGAACTGAATCCGCTGCAATATCTGTCCCCCCGAACAACACACAGAGATTTATTACTGTGGCTTTTATTTCAGCTTTGCCAAGTTTACCTCATTTCTACTCATACAGGCCCCCAGGAGCAGCTTCAGGTCTCGCACACATCCAAATGATTATATCTGGAAGCTGCAAACTCCTCATATAGGCCATTAGTTTGCTGTGAAACTGTTCCACAGAAGCAATGCAGTCACTTTTTTAAGCACCAACATTACTGCAAATCGGTGACAGGTAACTAACAGGTGTATGCATGGCACACATGCACTAAGCAGGGATGTTCATGTGGCACTTAACAATGTATTTTATTTTCATTTATTGGACGTATTTTGCTCTTTTTTAAACATATATTTTATGAAAAGTCAACAAGAGGAGCAGTGTAGCATGCATCACATTTCAATTTCAGGCATTTAATCACAGTTAATGTTGTCAAAACTATGTACATTACAGCAAATAAAATGTTAATGTCAGATTAATTTAGAAAATTGCAAAAATGTAGATACTGGTATTGTCACATTGAAAAGAAAGCATTTTTTCTTCAATACACATTCCAATCAGGAGTAAGAGTGACATATCTATAGTAATACTGCAATGAACACTGATGTGATGTCTTTATAGGATTTGCAGATTTTTTTTTCCATCATTGAAACATAAGGTAGACACACAATGAATAGCAGTTTGCAACTCGCATGTGTGTGGTTATACACAGATGGCTCCATACGAAACAAGCACAATGATTTTGAAGAACAATGTTTCTTTTTTTTCCTTTCTTTGTTTGCCCTTCATCCACATTGTTACAGACTTTTTTTGTTTTTTACATTCAGTTATCTGGAGAGCAGAACAACTCACACGCCGAGCCAACACGCCTTCCAAGAAGAAGACACTGTCAGGTTATTTTATTTTTTTGTAGCTTTCTGTTGAAATTCAAAAATCCAATCGCAATGTTCCCATGTGGTGCATTTTCCTTAACAGGATGAGGTATTTGCCTGAAGAAACGGCCAAACCCTTTTTATTCCCCCACTTCTCCCTCAGTCTGGTTAGTAAGAGATGCAGTGGTTTAGCAGTGCAGGATCTTAATGAATGCCTTTCTGAACTCAATATTAAAGGTGGTGTATATGATGGGATTTACAGCACTATTCACATATCCCAGCCAGGTGAACGCATTATACATCTCAGCGGGGACTTTGCATTTGGTGCAATGGGTGTTCAAGATATGTGTGATGAAAAACGGCAGCCAACATATGATGAATACACCTGAGGAGAAAAGAGGAGATGAACAAAAGTTTAAGTGGGGCAAAAGAGGTAAAAACATAAAACGTTTATTCCATATTTGACCCCAATCTGTGGCAAAAGAAGGAGTTTACAAATGATTTCTGTTTCTTGCATCACCATTTTAAGCTCATCCAAGCTTTTCCCCAAAATTTGAAATGTAGATGAAAAAAACATAAACAGGCAACCCAAATGTGTAAAAGTAGAAATGCACATTTCCAGAAAGCCTTGTTCTTAATTAAAACAGGATCAAATATCAAGTTCTCTTCAGTCTGAGATTTGTTCCCTTTTGGTTTGATGCCGGGATAATTGCCTGATGTTACATATGCTCAAAGCCAAAATCACAGCAGGACTTTTCACAAGCTGAGGAAAGTTTGTACAAAAATGGGAAGTTAAAAGAAACTAAAGTAAGATGCAACATACCAAGAACGATGGCTAACATCTGAGTGGCTTTCTTCTCCTTCTGTTGGGAGATCTTCCTTTTACTCATGCTTTTGACAGAAGTCTGAGTCTTGCCATTAGGTAAGGCCTGTGTCTGGAAGGATTTGGCTACAATGGGTGCTGGCTCAGACAGGWCCTCCTTGGGCTCGCCGTTCTTCTCTGCATTGTGGCTCTCCTCAGGGGGTGTGGGAGGTGTGGACGAGGGACTAGCGTTGGCCTTGTCAGGCATTAGCTGCTGGTGGCTGGTGGCCGGAGTGTCTCCGAGAACACTCTGTGTCTGCTGCCTCTGCTTGTGGCTGTTGCCACTGTTGTTCAGCTCATCCAGCTCCATGTGTTCCCCCTCGGTGGCCACATCTTTGATAAATATCTGCACAAGGACAGGATCAGCAGTGATTCAGATAGTTATGCTTTATTTGGGCTAAAGAAGAGTACTCGGAAAATAGGCTCTCCAAGTACCCCTGTCATGTGAAACATTAAAGGAGACCAATTGTGGGGCCTAGAAATTTTTATGGTTTGTCTGTGGGCTATCCAGACCATGTTCATTAAATTTATTGCACAAAATAATTCTCAGATAATAAAATTTCCCATTTTCTAGTTCTGCCTGCTATGACTTCCGTTCAGAAGAGCTGTTTATGTTAATGAGCTCTGTTGGTAACGCCCTCCAAAAATCTGTCGATGTTTACTCCACCCTCCAAAGCCAGCGTTTACGTTAGCATGGCTAATAATAGCAGAAGCTCTGTTGTACAACCAWATGAGAGACCCAGAGGCAGGGTCGTGGTCACAGCTTCTTTCTTTTTTTTCTCTCCCTCCTCTGCTCTGCGCTCACTCTGCATGCTGTTACCAGGGCAGGGAGCAGCAGCGGTCAAAATACCTCAGAAACTCGAACAAATAGGCTTTAACAAGGCTTTAATAAGCTAAACAACAGAGGTAAATGAGAAAACGTGTTCATAACGAACAAAAATAAATAAATAATTAAATTGTATCCATTCCAGTCTCAAACCCTGGTCTCCCACTCTCTGGTCCAACACTCTACCCATTGCCCTATTAGAGACTTGTTGTGATATGAGCTGCACATTGCACAACAACACCGTGATGGCTTATTATACTGAGGAGGTGGAGCCTCACCAGGGGGTTGCTAGGTAAGGGGCTGAACGCAGGTTTGTCACATCACAAAAATGACGGAAGTATAAAACTTGCCGTTAATATACATTAAAAATACATTTACTTACAGTAAATATGCCCCTGGGTGCATTTTTTGGTCCTAGGACTGTTTTTTTAAGAAGTACATACCCAAAGTTGAGTAAAAAAACCTTTAAAAAGTGAATTTTGCATAATAGGTCCCCTTTAAAACAGTAGTAAAAGCTTATTGATATCTGACATCAGAGAGCAAACTGGTCAAAGCCCTAACCCTGGCTGATGAGTGCCGTCTAAAATAAAATTATTCCATACATTCAACACCACATACGACGGGATCAGTTCCTTGTCTGCTCCACAGTGACTGAACACAAACTTGAGACGACTTGAATAAAACCTCCTCAAAGTTTTGCACCTTTTGTTGCAATCAGCTCTCACAGAAGCACCACTGGCCCTGCTTCAGCTGCTACAAGCACATTGGRTACCCATCATCCACTCATGTTTCCGTAGAGTTTCCAGAGTTCTCYTCTGCTCCAATTGTCCCACAACTTTTGAACAGCCACTCAGCAGACACACAGATGCTCCACTGCTCCCCCTCATTATCAGCTATCTGAGATGCTGTCATCAACATCAAACCTAATATTCTTCWATTGGCCTACACTTTAAAAGGACTCAGGACTTTGTTTAATTGCATTCTGTGCCTGCTTTTTGGTGTGTGCACACAGGCAGTGCTCCTTTCCCGTTTTCTGCCTTTTTGGTTCTTAGATATATTGGGGGGAAAAGCAAGCYAGTATCTTTGTGTCTGCATGTGGGTCTTGAGCCAATAACAACATGGAGTGTTCTGCTGTCTGAACACCAGGAGGTAGCTTAGCGTGTCTTTCTTTTTCTCTCTCTTTATACTTGTCAGTTATTTGTAAAATACTTGTGAATTAAGCAAGCCTACAACATCCATATCAAGACACAATTGAGTCTCTAAAGGCTTTAACATGTAGATTTTGCAGGTGAACTTGTTTTTAATGAGGCAGATACACTCATCTGAACGTGTGGTATAAACACTACAAATTAATGGAGTGTGCCTGCCCCATCCTCTGATGTATTAACAGGGGACACTAGTTTGCTGATTTGACAGAAAATCAAAATGCATGTTTAAAGGAGAGATGATGATCACTTTATAGATCAAATGCAATAGATTCTTAGAAACAAGATTCCTGCCACTCAAAAAGGTAAGCGATCCCACTTTACAATTGTATATTTATTTTATAATAACTTCATGATCAATGAGTTGTTGCAATAAACAGAAATTTTAGCCAACAGAAAAAAAAAAACAAACAGCCACCTATTTACATCAATGAAATTCATTTTTATCAAGAGGTTCTTCTGGAATGCTTCTCTTAAAAAGGGTAATAATTTAACACCGTAATTTTTTTTCATTTTCCAATTTTATGGTAGCTATTTCATCTAAACTGTTTATTTATTGTAACACAGTTCAATTATATAAAAATGCTGAGGTTAATCATTTAAAGGGATGCTGAAATATTATGTACTGATGGTTTTATTTGTTTTAAAAGCACTTACACTGCTAGTAAAAAAGTTTAGAGCAGTTAATTTTTATAGCAACTAAAGTGTCTAAGTTTCAATATCTACTTAAAATTGGAGTATTATGACAGCCTTACAACACCTTGATGTTAAGTTTAGCAGAAAACCACTTTTTCAGTAGCTTTTCAGAAAGAAAAATATAAAAGGAGGCTGGTACTGTTTAAAAAAAGAATACACACCACTTTCTTCTTATTGACTGGTAAACTTCCGTTAGATTTAACAATCATGGTGCACAACCTCACATCCTCTGGATGAGTGCACTTGTCCTGGAATGGAAAAACAGCTGATGTCAGGTGGGGAGAGAGGACAGTATCAAAGCACCAGACAAAAGACAGATTCACAGATRTGACTCCCTCTGAGGTCAGGAGAGAAAAAAAAAAGCTTAAAAAAAACTCTTATTCAACCAGTTGGTATTTTATTCAAAATCAAATCATTTTGTTGTGTAAATTAATGAGCTGTCAACGGAATATGTCCAATAATTACAAGTAAAAACTGAAATACAGTATGCTGTACTTTTTTATTATTATTAAAACAGCAGCTTGTCAATATCATTCTATTTAATGCCTTAATCCACAGCATGTGGTGACACATGAATATAAGTAATTTGAATCAGAAATATTACTTGGCCTTCCATCCAGAACCCATCACATTTACCTTTGTGATGAAACTCAATCAACTCAAAAGCAAAAGCTCATTTAAGGACTAATWAAAATCATGTAAAATGATAAATCCTGACACTAAAAATAGGACATTTTAGGAAGATAAGAATTTTATGAACGTGAAAAGCTGTCAAAATGCATAAAATATCACAGGCAAATGTTCTTTCTGTGTTTGGTCTTGGATGTCATATACTGTGTTTAGGAGAAAATAGAAGTCAGTCAAGATGTCTTTAAAGCATTCATTTAATAATGTGTTGGTATGTTTCACAATGCTTTCTGCAAAACAAAACCTGATGTAAAACTATTAAGTTAACAAAATGTTGTTCAAATAGCYTATCGAATCAAAGATTAAATGTGTCTGTAAAAAAGAGCCATATTTCAGTAGCTYCTAACCTTTAGTGAAGTGGCTACATCCGTGTCAACAGCTTGAAAAACTCGCTGCTTTGGTTTTGTGTTGACACGTTTTCTGCGCTTCCTCAGGACCACATAAATTTGCACATAAACCAGCAGAGTGATGATGAAGGGCACGTAGAAGGACACGATGGAGGAGTACACCACAAAGGCTGGATTGGCGATCACGCAGAGAGTCGCGTCACGAGTAGCTGTGGAGACGAGCACAGAGTGAAGGAAAAACTTCTGACTGAAGAGGAGAGCACTCGTTTGGCTTGAACCAGGGTCTGCTATTTGGTTTTGATTGCTTGAGATTCATACAAAAGAGTAATAACTTTCTACACTCCTCTCACTTGGAGGTCATTCACACAAGTTTCTGTTTTAACACCTCCAGACCGTTCTTTGCTATCCCACATAGAAGCCTTATCMCTCATTCAGAATGCTGCCATAATATAATATCAGATGCCAAATGTAGAGATATGTACTACCTCAGTTTTACATTCTCAGCAGCATCATGGATCTAAACATCATTACCATTTACATACTGACATCCCTGTCCCTTACAACAGTGAATTTCTGGACTTTTTTCAGACAGTTTACAAATCACAGAACCACTTCATAATTCTTTAGCAATAGATGCACATTACTCTGCTTTTATTCAGCAGGAGACAGAAAAAAACATCACCTGTGAGAGCAGCTCACTGGAAACTAGAGCCTAGCAACACATTTTATATCACAGTTTATTTTACTGCTTAAATCAGTGCCACATGTACTTAGTGTCTTAGAATATCTTTGATTAGGCATTTATTGTTTCTACAAAAAAAAAGGTTGTCGCTTATTTTGCAGATTGCGCACTCGTTTCGTTTCGAGTGTTACATTAAACCTGCTGATTTTCAAGGTTTTCAGTGGCTTTCATTTCAGTCGGTACTTATGTCCATATTRATTTTACTTTTGTTTGCCGGATAAAAGGGTTGCACAATATATCAAAAAAAGATTATCAAAAAATGTGAGCTGGACAACTTGAACAAGCCATTATGTCCCCCGTCTCTGTGGGTCTTGAGTAGTCAATGTTTGTCATTTTTGWGACGAGTGTTTTTCTGGACTGGAAATTAAAGGGATGGCAAGTAAAGCTTAATGWTTTTGGTGCAAGACATTCAAATGGGTAGGAGCTACATGCATTGTGTGTAAAGAAAGAGGTAGTTCATTGTTTTTTTWWTTTTTTTTTCTTGTCCGAGGTAGCTCAGAGGGACAGACGTAAGTCAGCATGTTGATTATTTTTCAAGTTATCCAGCTCACAAGGTTTATATATTTATAGGGGCAGCTAACTTGGAATTTCAGATGGCAACACAAGATGGATGGAGAGATGGAGAGTATTTCCAATTCTCTGCTATGCTCTATGACAGGACACAAAAACAAGCAAGATAACCACTTCCATTTTAGTATGTGGCTCCATTTAATCAAAACAAAGGTCCCTATCAGAAACTGGGCTGCCACATCGACATCCAAGATGGTTGCCACCATGTTGATTTACGTAAGCATTAAAAGAAACAATGCTTTCTACTTTTATATTGCTTAAATGTATTGCTTAAAGGGGACATATGCAAAAAGCCTTTTATCCTTTAATGCATTTTGTTGTGTACTTGGAGTCTATAGGAGTTCAGCTAATTTGAATATCTTGCACCACAAACATTAAGGTTTACTTGTTTCTCTATTAATTTTCAGTCCAGAAAAAACACATCCCAAAAACAACCCAGTCACTACTTAAATCCCTCAGGGATGGGGGACAGCAACATATCGCTTGTTCTTTAATGAACAATGACCTGATTCTGTTGTGTATTTTTTTGTACATATTAGATTTGAATCTTTTATAAAACCTGGTAAAACACTTGAATCGAAGCAGGGTGTACTTTCTTTTCCCCACTTGTAAATACAACTATGCTCGGTTTCAAAATTTTAGGTTTCAGTGTGTTTTGATCGTAATAATTAAAAAGTAATTTGCATGCTTTTTATAAGTGTCGCAAAAAAACTTCCGACTGAAAGCATGCTGCTTCTGTAATGTCTGCTTTCATGCTCTTCTGTATCTCACACTGGCTGCATCTTCACTCGCTGCCTGTTTGAAATGTTACATCAAGGCTCTCAAAGGAATAAGTGGAGATTCAAAGTGACAGGATGCAAACCACAGTAGCTGATAAGAAACAAGTTGGCACCATCCAAAATCTCTTAAAAAGAAAAGCGCTAAAGCTTTTTTTCCTTTAATGCTGCTAAAAAAGGCTTCTGATTTGTATTTATTTATTTTATTTTTCAGAATAAACAGCCTGATGGTCCGAGGCTTGATTAAAGCAAACAACCATTACTATAAAACATTTCATTGGATAAGTTCTTRTTATTATGAGTCCATGTCTGGAACTTATCTGGTACTGACAGGTGTATCTGGACTTGAATGCAACATGCTTCTTAATAACACACAATAATGTGCWCTTTTGTTTGTCCAGAGATGTTAAACTGCCTTACCTGTGTTATTTAGGCCGAACAACAGGGGACATGAAATGGCAAAAGAGAGAACCCACACCACAGAGATCATCACGGTGACTCGTCTCTTGGAACTGTAACGTGTGTTGTACAGCATTGGCATCGCAACTGCTGTGTATCTGTAGGATGACAAGAAATTATGGCTGCTCTGTTAGTATTTATGACGACAGGAAAAAAACTGTGCAAATTAAAAAAATGTCTTCTTTATGCTTTGTTATTAGTTTGTTTTGAGTGAGTTTGAGTGAACATAACCCTAAAGTTGTGAGCTACCAGTCTTACAAATGTACAAAAAAGTGTACTACGAGTAGCAAATAGCTTTGATTCAAATTGGGCAGGTGCGATGAATCCAACCTTCCAAGCTGTAGATCCAATTCTTCCTTTGGGCACTGTAAGTCATATAAACATATGCTGGAGTCTGAATGGARGCTTTAGTCTAATTAACGGAATATTAATCATCAGTTTTTATTTGATAATTGTCTCGCCCTACGCAGGGACAATGGGCGGGATAGACTGGGGTCACTTTGAATCTGGGGGTCGTATCCCACTCATCCTTGGTACCATCTGTGCCCATGTACAGTGCGTGCTCTTTTGTTTTTGTTTTGTTTTTTTACCGACTAAGAATTTTTTTGTATAAAACACTCGAGAACGTACAGACGAAAACTGGGTTAAACCAGAAATATTACCTGTCATTTCTGATCAGATCTTTCTGTAAAGGACTGGCCCTTTTGGAAATAGTTGTGTGCTGTAGGCTTTGGGTCACATTAAAATAAGACACTGTAAAGAAGCATTTTTCCCCTTCCCCTATCTGGTCTTGAGTATATGAAATATGTTAATATTTAACCTCACGTCATTACTTGACCTTATTAGTAACCTTGCTGCAAATACCAAGTAATGCACAGCTTCTCTCAATGTGTCATTCATTGATTTTTTTCTTATCTGTCTTTCAAGACCTTGGGCAGAAATTCAAGTGTGGTTCTGCTTTTCTGATACTGTTCTCAATGAGTTTATTCCTGAATTAAACAAARAATTCCTCATTGTTAGGTTAGGTTTTCATGGTAACACAATTCATAAAGTCTTAAAAACTGCAAAAGAATAATAAATGTACACAGTTCTGAGATATAATTATGTTTAGAAAGCTGGGGTTGCACAAACAGGTACAAGTATAATTAAAATCTGGCAGCACAGTGAGATTTTTTTTAATCATTATTTTTTTAAACGTGTCTTGGACTACAAAGCAAACTATAACCTCCGGTCCATGCTTGCTTTTGACAAAAGCCACACAAGCTTGAGATTCCAAGCTYTTTTTTTAAATTATTTTTTAGTAAGTAAAATGTAATTTTCAATGTGCTTTAGCAACATAGAAAGTAAAAAAAGAAAAATGTTTGACAGTCACGTGTTTTTTATTTTTTATTCTTTTCTATATAAAACATTTGCCATATGCCTGTAAATCTTCCTTTTTTTTTTTTGGAAGAATGGAAAGCCTATAGGTCACTAGTGAGATAAAAATGTTTATTTTCACATAAATGGGTGCCTGCTTTTGCACACATTCATAGAAGACAGCACAGCAAACAACCTTTTGATGTAGAAATTGCATCGCCACTCTGAGCTGCTGGACTGATAAAAGCCAACACTTTTATCCATGAGTGCAATCTGAGCTTTTACAACACAGTCTCATAAGGGTGGACACTGAAACATGCTAAAGCCAAGAAAAGTGATTCTAGATTATATCACTTGCATCCCTTTTGTGATTTGTATTCACAAGAAAGCAGTGAGCTGCACACAACTTAGATGAATAATATATACCGGTACACGGAAATGTTGTTGCCATTCCTCTCCTGCATGCTTGGGACATTTGTTTATAATACGCAGAAACAGAAATCCATCATGATTTTATTCAGATTAACTAAATTTGGTTTTACAAACACTGGAGTTGTCTGCATCCTAATTTAGTTTCTGCTTTAAGAGTTGGAATTGTCTCCATGAGTGACTATGGTGGCCATTTATTTTGCACATGGATTCAAAATGAAAGATCAGCTGAGCAGAAAATCATGTAAAATTATACATGACACAAATACACAATCTGAAAATATTGTAAATGTCATATTCTAGGTATTATAATTTGTATTTCTGGAACTCAATATTACACAATTACTTCATACAGACTTATTTGAAAGCTCCATCTTCCTGTGCTTTTCAGATTAGCAGCTTCTTTAGTGGGGCCACTTCCTGCAGCTCGAAGTCCAACAGAAATATTGGGTCTGTTATGTTAATCAGTACTTTCAATCAGCTGCTGGAGAAGCTTTATTTTTTTACCCAAGATTTTTAAAATAGATATGGATGAGCCAACATTTTTCCAGGATCCTTGTCATTTGGCTCACATCGCCAAAGAAAACTGGTTCTCATATGTCTCCACTTCTCATGAGGAGCTGTTAGAGAGATGAAAGAGGCTGATCTGTATGCCCCAAAAATAACCAGAATTCCTGTCACTGCTTATGACTGAARGTACTGGAGGTCCACAGGTTTATATTTTCATCAACTGAAGGTCTCAAGTGAAACCAGGAAACTGAATGACTGTCGTAACTATTTGTCCTTTATAAAAAAAWTTTCTTAGACATTTCTCCACCATAATGTCCATCATGTTACCGATGACTTTTCCACAAAGTCTTTACAGTTAAAACAATGATGCTGACAGACAGGATTGGCTGTGATGTTTGGCAACTAGTTAGTGAATTTATTCCTTGAAGTTGGGCAAATAAAATTTTATACATCCCAAAAAGTTTACATTAAATTTCTTAAAAGCCAAAAACAATCTTAGTACTAAATAAAGTTAGTGCTTACCATTTTATCACAAAACCTCTGTTTGTTGCACACCTGTTCTACAAATAGTCATGAGATTATTCACACGTGTTTTTGCATGTTAATGGAGGTATTTATGTTTATAACCCTGGAACATCTGGTGGCCACACATTAGAACTGGAAGTGCTTCACGTCCCTTGTGTGCAGAGGCAAATTCATGTCTGAAAAAGCCATTTAGTTTGTAAATAGACATGTGGACCTTGATGGTCATGAACTGAAAGGTTGCAATCCCTTTCTGTTATTCAGAAGCTAAACACTTCCATTGATTTCCAGGCTGCAAACGAGCAACCGACCTAAACAGGCTGTGCGACGGTAGACTCACCGATCAATGCTGATGGCACAAAGATTGAGGATGCTCGCTGTACACATCATCACATCGAGAGTGACAAAGATGTCACAGTGGATCTTGCTAAAGCGCCACTCTCCCACCACCTGGAGAGGAAAAACACGAACAAATTGCACTTTACAGCAAACGACAACAAAACAAAGCCACTACATTTGCCTGGCGGCGACAGCTTCTTGACAGGAATATTACTTCTCGCTCTTGAACAAAAATCAACTCTGCCAAGCATTTCTGCACATTTTGTCATATCATTTACACACTGGTAACACAAGAAGAGGAAATGAAAACCAAAATGCAACTTTAGGGTTAAAAAAATGTTTAAGTGTACAATGAACTACACATCTAATATTGGACAATATATTTATTACCCACCGAGATGAAAGGTGGGTGATAAGAGAAATTTTGTGTGTGTGTGTGTGTGTGTGTGTGTGTGTGTGTGTGTGTGTGTGTGTGTGTGTGTGTGT